TTCATGTGTTAACATAACTGCTGTTTTATTTTATTTTATTTTGGCACTGGGGATCGAACTCAGGTTCTCGTGCTTGCAAGGGAGGCACCGGAACCACTGAGCTAAATCCCCAGCCCATAACTGCTGTTTTAATCAACTGCAGTTACTATCTTTATTCATGTCTAGCGTGCCCCATCCTTGGGAGCCTCCTTGCTTAGATTAAAAATTCCTCCGCTGCCTGCTTTGCAAGCACAAGGACCTGAGTTCGATCCCCGGGACCAAAAAAAATATTTAAAAAAAAATCCACAAGGCTGACTGTTGAAGGGTAGGGGGTCCTAAATCCACCCATTGTGGGACCATTTAGAGGGTTAAATGGAAAAACCAAGGACACAGATCAAGAAGCAAAGGGGCAGGGGAGGGAGGAGGACACTACATTGGTATTACTTTTTGTGAAAACTGTGCCAGAATCTAGTATCACACATTACAGGTATTAACCTGTTCAATCCCGACAATGATTATATGACGTGGGAACTATTTTTACCGCTCTTTATAGACAGGAACTGGGGCTTCTTGGTGAATGTGATGGGGCCTCTGGAGGGGACTCTGGCACTGGTGGGGAGATGGTCGCTGGCCCAAGTTCCTGCTGGGAGGCTGAGTTGTGTTCAGGGTCACAAAGCCAGGGAACGTGGGGCAGGGATCCCATCTGCCCGGATGGGATCTGATGCCAAAGACGCATCCGATGCCAGAGCCAGGCTTCTCACTCCTGATCCTCTATCGCCCTCTGCTGACCCAAGGACCACATTGTCACGCTCAGTGGAGCCCGCGGGCATCGCAAACTTCAGCGGCTGAGAGGAGCGGCGCCACCTCAGGAGAATGGGGGCAGGGTGGGCCAGTGGGGGTCTTCATCTCAAAGCCACCAAAGCCGGGCGTGGTTCGCATGCCTGTAATCCCAGCATCCTGGGAGGCTGTAGCGAGAGGCTCACAAGCTTGAACCGGCCTCCCGTGCGATTTAGTGAGATCCTGTCTCAAAAAATTTTTTAAAGACTGAAGATGTGGCGCCAGGGATTTAGCTCAGCGGTTCGGTGGCCTGCCTTGCAAGCACAAGGACCCGAGTTCAATCCCCGGTACCCCCAAAATAAATAAATAAATAAAGACTGAAGATGTAGCTCAGTGTGAAGGCCCTGAGTTTAGTACCAAACACAGACACACACACACACACACACACACACACAGCCACCAAAGAGCCCACTAAATTGCACCAGTCAAAATATACATTAGTTTTGCTTCAGAGGTTGCTGTGGGGAAAATTGGTTTCATTTTAGTAGAGTTACATAAGTTTTTGTCTGCAACTTTCAGATGATTCAGGAAAACAGTATGGGAAGACAGAGCATGCAAAAGAGCACACAATTTGTAAATTATGGTAAACATTTTTAACATTTGAAGAATTTGAGACAAGTACATACAGAATTCTTTATACTATTCTTACAATCCTTCTGTAAGTCTGAAACAACTTCAAAATAAAATAATTACCCTTTCAGAAAGCCACCAACTACCCCTCCCAGGATACTGGGATAGTCTCCATTGACCAAAGGCATCCACTGGGGACCTCTCCTTGGTGACCACAGAAGCACGGAGACCCTCGAGGCTGCGGAAGGAAGCAGCTCCCTCCTGAGCAGGGTCCCCAGAGGTCTCCAGTACCTCCTGACACACACACACTGCATCACTACAAGCAGTGGCAGGGACCCCAAAGGTGTGTCCAGACACTGGTCAGTATATAAGGGTCAGTATGCAAGATGAAAACACTAAGATGGGAAGGCTGGGTGGCTACAGGAGGGACCTCACAGACATTTGTCATGGGAGGAAGAATCAGATCTACTCTGAGATGCAAGAAAACAGGAGGAGAACTGGGCAGAGGTACTGAGAGGCACTCTACACCAGGGGTCACCCATGCACTGCCCTCGGGGCTATGGATAGGTAGCAGCCCAAGGCCTGAGAAACCAGGCCACAAAGCAGGAGGTGAGCAGTGGCCGGTAAATGACACAGCTACTCCCCGTCACTCACCTTACCAGCAGTACGCTGGATTCTCACACCAGTGTGATCCTACTGGGAACTGCCCATGTGAGGGATAAAGGTCACTCCCTCTTTATGAGAATCTAATCCAGACATCCCATCCCACAGTCCATGGAAAAACTGTCATCCCTGGTGTCAAGTTTGGGGACTGCTGCTCTAAAGCCCGGTGCCATGAAATAGAACTTCCTGTCACCAGAAGGGTCACCTCAAGGGCGGCTGCCCCAGTGTGGTGTGTGAACCAGCAGTGGAGGGCTGGCAGGTGCTGGACTCACGGAGGGAGTTTTAACCACTGCTTCTCAGGTGGCTGTGCGTCTGCCAGAAACACCCTTCTGCAAGTACCTAGGAGGCTCCGTCCCCAACCTTCAGGTGTGTGCATCTGCCCGTGGCTACCCTGGCAGTGATGCCTCCCACCCAATTTAGAATTGCAACCTCAGCTGGGAGAGGGAGCACACACTTATAATCCCAGCACTCTGGGAGGCTGAGGCAGAAAGATCACAAATTCAAGCCCAGCCTGGGCAACTGCGACTTAGTAAGATACAGCCTCAAAATAAAAAGGAAAAAGAGCTGGGATGTAGCTCAGTGTGAAGACCTGGGTTCAATCCCCAGTGCCAGAAAGGAAGGAAGGCAGGAAAGGAGGGAGGGAGGCGTAATCTCTCCCCATCAGCAACTTGCTGTTCCCCTCTCCTGGCTACATTTTTCTCCACGTCACACTACCTTTTTCCTATATTTGTTGTCTGCTCCTAAACTGAGGTCCATGAGCACAGGGATTTGTGTCGTTTCACCTCAGTGTCGGGCCAGGGCCTCGTACAGAGTGGAACTTTCCTAAGTGTTTGCTGAATACATGGGATCATCAAGGCCGGTGCCCTGAGGCAGAAGGGTGCCAGATACGGGCACCTACTCCACTGCATGGGGCCACTCACAATGGACATATGGACCTCCTAGGCCTGGACCAAAGAACCTTCAGCAAGACTGGAGATTTTGTGGCCTCGCATGAGCCCAGTACAAAAGGAAGTGACAGAGCCAGGAAAAGACTGCTGTCTGTCTAGGTTCTCATCAACCCTGGAAACTGGTGGTTTGCAATCCGGTTTTATTGGGTTTAGGAAAGTGAGTAAATACAGTGTTTTGCCTCTTGAGTGCTGGCAAGGAATTCATTCTGGAAGTCCCTGTGCAGAGGCCTCCCTCCACAGGCCTAAGGCAATAGCTCTGGCCTGGCCGGTTACCTGCTCCCAGCCATTGAGACTTGGAACACTGTCCCCCAGAGTCCTGAGGCAGAAAGCACACCACAAGCACACAAGGGCTCACTGAGGAGGTGCTGGTGCTGGTGAGAACTAAAAGGATAGTAGGAATTAGACGGGCTAGGGGAAAGACAAAGGAGGACATCAGGCAGAAAAAGACACACACTTAAGGCCAGGAGACAGCCGGCCAGAACAAAGCAGGATGAGGATCATGCAGGACTGCGACTGGGCACAGCGGGTGCACCAGGAGCCAGCCAGCTCACTGATAGCCCCAGAGACCACACTCATTTTTAGTGTATGCGCTGCTGAAGCAAGCACCAGAAACTACATGGAGAAGTCTGAACTTTAACCCAAGGCACCAAACGGTCCTAAGCTGGGAAAGCTCACCCAGATGTGGTGAGGAATGGATGAGCAGAGGCAGCCGTGCTGCAGGGGAACCACTGGAGGCCACCACAGAAATTCTGACAGGAGAAAAGGGCCTGGCCTCAACAACCAACAGTAAGGGCAAATCTGAAGGCCACTGAGAAAGCAAAGCAGGCAGTTGAGGGAGCTGGTGGTCACTCCTAGTTACTGCTTGTGCAGCAGAGCAGATCTGGGACGGGTGCAGAAAGCACCATGGGTTGGGTCTTGCAACATCCTCCAGGAGAACATCATGGGCTACTGTAGGCAGAGCCTCTGTGGGATAGAGGCAGGGACAGAACAGTGAGGAAGGAAGTGTGATCAGAGGCCTGGAGCAGACAAAAACACTGGGGAGAGAATGCAGTAGGGAAAGAGGCCTGCGCAGCATGCTGCCATCTAGAGGATGGCGGGGGCGGCCCGGAAGGAAGGCCGGCTGAGGAGCCCAACCACGGAGGCCGAGGAAGGCCAGAAAAGAGCTGCTGTGAAGGCGAGGGGCAGAGATGTCTCTGGAGATGGGGGGCAGTCGGGAGCCCCAAGACATGACGATGGCTCCACAGTGGCGACCCCCACAAGGCATCTGGACCAGGTGAGCACAGCCTTGCTGCACCCCTGGCCTTCAAAATGCACTCCCCCACCATAAACCACACATGATCTAGAATTCAATATATGTTTATTTGTGGAGTAGGAACATTTGGGTATATAAATAGGTAAATACTTTCCAATGTACAATATATCATATTCTTATACTGCATTGAAAAAGAGCCTACGTGTACTGTTCCACATTGATCAGAAGTGCACAGGAAAGGTCAGCCATGGCAAAAACACTGATTTAGTAAGCGCCAACATGAGTAAACAGCGAAGCAAGGGCACACAAGCACACACTGATCTGGGAGGCCCAAAGGACCCACAGGTCTGAGGAGGGGAAAACCATGTGTCAGCACCCAGCCAATCAGTGTGAGAAAGTGAACCCCACCTCTCCCTCCTCCAAACAAGGGGTGTGCTCCGCCCTGTCTCCCCAACTCTGACTTTTCCCTCCTGATTTGGAAGGTGTTAAACATAAATAAAAACTAAATTTGGCATCAGCACTGACTCTGGAGGCTCATCCATGAGCTCCCAATCTCCCATCCCCACACCCACAGGAGACTGGGCTGGCCTCAGACGGTCTGTCCTTAGTGAGGGACTCCCGGGCGTTCCCTGCCCCATCCCTCCTGCCGCTGCCCCCATGGCTTCTCAGAATGTCTTAGCAGAGGATAAATCTCTGCCTCTCAGCCCCTCACTATTCTCTTGCCACCAAGTCCTTTGGTCTCGCCAGATCTGGGGTCTGCTCGGCTACTCCCCTCTGTGCCTGGCGCCATACACCAGCCAGCCTCACAAGGCAGAAGCAGTTTTACCAAAGGCCGGTGTCTGCCTGGGGACACTGTTACAGAAACACGTGCACACACTCTGCCCGCCCAGAAACACACAGGACCCTTTCTACTCTGGTATTTACTTTGAGAAAAGCCAGCAAAAGCAGTACATGAAGGACCGGGGATTTAGCTCAGTGGTACCACGTCTGCCTCGCAAAGTGCAAGGTCCTGAGTTCGATCCCCAGCACTGGAAAAAAAAGGTGGGGCAATACATGAACCTGACGGGGTAAGGAAAAGTTACCCCAGGAGTGAAGGACAGGTGGCCAGTGGGTGAAGCCAGCAAGCAGCTTCACCAGGGCAGATGCTAGGTGCTGGCCCTCCCGCACAGTCCATGAAGGCTAAGTCCCACTGCCAGAGAGGACAGTGTGGATGGTCAGCCCTGCCCACAGTACCGCGCCCCCAGCCAGTGGGGAGCCTCCCTCTCTCCAGATAAAGGGCTGCCTGGATCACTTAGTTTCTGTTTTTTCAAAATAGGGTCTCACTATACAGCCCAAGCTGGCCTCAATCTCACAATTTTCCTGCCTTCCAAGTGCTGGCATGAAGCACTACACCCAGCTGCCTGGGTCACTTAGATGGTACAGTGAGGGAGGAAGCGCCAGAGCTGGCGAGCCCAGTTCAGAAGGGCAACAGGGTGTTTGGGGCAGGCCCCCCTCAGATGGCCCTGTCCCTGCAGGGGCTTACAAAAAAATGCAATGCCTTTCTCTGCCTCCTGTAATTACTCTGTAATGAACTCTAGGGGAGAGGCAACCATTTAGATTCCAGCAGGCCCTTTGAGCTCCATGAACACCCAAAAAACAGTTCATAGTCAAGCCAGTAGTTCTAACATTTGCTATTACCCCACCGGCTTAAGAATCCCATGGATCCTGTTAGCCAAACTACTCCTCCAATAGAGTCCTCCTTCTCACACACCCTTCCCAACCTTGTCTCCAGTCAGAAAACTAAGACAAACATTTCTTCCCTCTGTCTATGGCCTGTTCTTTCCTCACTCGTGAATCACTTTGATTCTTTGCTCACCAAGAACCCTACATCACTTGTCCTCAGCTATCCTATCCTCTGTCTTGTTAGGAATCAAACTCAGGGCCTCATGCTTGCCAGGCAGGTACTGCACGACTAAACTACATCCCCAGCCCTTCTAGTTACCACAAGAAAGAAAAGAAAAAGAAAAAAAAAGAACAGAAGGTCCTGGGCTATGGACAAGGGAGTGGGAAGAGACTCCAGGCTCCTGGTTGGTGATATGCCTCAGAGCAAGTTCAGCTTTCCCCCTCATCTTTAGAAGGTCCCTGAAGGCTCAGCCATCTGCACAGGGAACTATAGGCTCCTGAGCTTCATGCACGGAGCATGGCCCTTCTGCCCTGAGAAGGGAAGTAGGGCCCAGAGCAAGTCACAGGCCCTTACTTTCCAGAGTGCAGTTGCCCCGGAAGTGAAAACAGCGGGGCGGGGGGCTCAGACCATGAGCACAGGAAGTGGGCACTGCGCTTGGACAGGCCACACCCACTCAGCACAGATTCTCTGCACCCTCTCCTGTGTGAGGCGCCAAGATGCCATAGTGCTATAACTTGTGTTGCTTCTCTCAAAAGGATGATGTGGCCACTTTCCAGATTCTGAACACCAGGCTACATGCAGGGTAGTGGCAGTGTGGTGGCTGAGAACCCACTTTCCAGCATTACACTCAATGTAGGTCTAATGACCAGCTAAGCTCAACAAGAACAACAATCATTTAATGACCACTTACTATGCGCCAGGCACTGTGCTAGATGGTTTTATGCATTACTGCATTAAATCCTTATAACCACCCTTAGACCCAGGTGGGTTCGAGCAGGAGACCAGAAGCTGCCTAGGAACCTGCCCAGGCCTAGGGCTGACTAAGCCTGAAGTCTGTCTCTCAGCTGCTGCTCTCGGCCTCCATGGCAGAGATTGTTTCCTCAACTGTAAGATGCAGACAACACCATCTCATCAAAGGGTTTCTGGACTAGAAGGGATAACAGATGCAAACCCGTAGCACTGTGCTTGGCACAGGGTAAGCGCCGTATGATTGCAGCCATTGACAGATACACTCTTGGTATTTCATTAGCTTGAGAAAAAAGAGAAGGAGCCTGCAGATAGGAATTAGGTGAAAAGGGGGAAAAGAGGGAGCAAGGTTTTCAAATAGTCAATGGATCTGAACCTCTAGATGTCACATATTTGGCCCCTCCATTCTCATAAATCACACACACTTCATCCAAGTCACTTCCCAAACTGTCCTCAAAGCAGGACGACCTGGCTGTGGGATGGTTCCCAGGCAAATAGGTGCAAGATTTGTCCAACCAAGGGGCAGCCCCAAGGGAGAACAGCAGCCGGGCTAAGGTCAACCAAAAAGGGGACGCCTGGGGGGACAGAACTGTGGGCCACATTCAAGTGAAAACGCAGCTAGGACCCTGCTCCTGGGGGCATGAGTGGGGGTAACCAGGACCAAGGGGAGGTGGGCCTAGCAGAGCCTTTACAGAAGGGTCCTTCATCGCCACTTACTCCAAACCCAGCACTCTATGTGGGTGGGGCCTTACAGAGGGGACACCACATCAGGAAGTGGGAGCTATTAATCTCTTCAAAAGCTAGAAGCTAGAATAGCCATAAAAGGAGAAGGAAGTTCATTCTGACCAAGATAAGAAAGACAGGAGGCTGTGCTCAAGGATCAGCTCCCCTTTTCAGAGCTGTGTTCCATCAAAGGAGCCCAGCCTGGCTTACTGGCTGGTGGTGCACCTACAAGCCACCTATACTTCCCGCCTAGGCCTTTCCTCCCCACCCTGTCTTAGGAAGAACAGGAACTCTGTGTCTAAGTGAAATCACTCCCCAAGTGCATGCATGAATACACATTCCTCTCCCCCCACACACACAGGCACAGTGTGCAAGAACGGTAGGCCCGATTCAAATCACTCTGAAAGACAAGACAACAGTGCCTAGGACAATGCTAAACAGAGGTTTCAGCAGTGACATGCCACGTTCAGGGAAAGTGGTAAAAAGCCCCTTGGAAATCCACCTCGGGCTAGCTTCCTAAGGAACACAGCCACTGCTGGCCACCTGAGTCTCCACTCCTATGACCCAGTGCTGTCCACTGTGGGGCTGGCTGGGCCTGCCCAGGACGCTGACAGTGAGCCCTGAACCAGGACCCATTTGTGCCAGGCCCCTGCCAAACCAGTCAGACCCCAATCACAGGGCTTGGGATCTCCCTGAAATGTACTTTTGGAATTTCCTTGCATAATGTAAGGCAAATTCCGGGAATGATCCCAGTTAGAGAAAAGAAACATCAAAATGGTTTCAAGGTCTAGTGTAAGGTTAAAATTACGTTTTACCCCCTGAAGAGAGACCAGTTCACATGTATTCCAGAGCTATGTGGCATCAAGAGCACATACAGTTTAAATACAGAGCTACTACAAGACTCTGAATATAAAGGAGGCAAGAAATAATAAACATGAAGCGCCGGCTGCCTTAGAGGGTTTCACCTTCAGGGTAAAACACCAATGTGCACGTTTCCAATGACACTGGCAGTTAAGAGGGTGGTCGGCTCCTCCCCTGTGAGGACGGGGACACCAGGCTCATCAACTCTTTATTTCACCACTTATGAGCTAACTAACAGCAATTCACACTCCAGCCTGGCTAGGGCCAGGCCTCCTGAGTGTGGGGGAAGGAACACTGCAGCATTTCAGGTGCAAGTGGGGCTAGAGACGGAGGGTCCCTGTCCTGCAGGCACAGTGCTGATGGAGTGAGTTTGGCTCCCTCACTGCCCTGGGGAAGGTGCTAATGGCCCTCCCCCTAGGTACTGCAGAGGTCAGTGGAAAACATCAAACCAGGCATGGAAGCCACAAACACTGAATTCATGACAAGGTGGGCACACGGTTTTGGTCGCATTTTATTTCTAACCAAAAAAAAAAACCCAATGGGTCTACAGCAAGTTATGAAAGTCATTAAGATCTGCACAGGTGCATGTTAAGTAGTCTCTGGAATCTGGTCTATAAATGGGAGAAAGATGCACTGCTGTCAAAAACCAAGGTAGCATTGCTCTCCTGGCAACTTGACTGGGAAATTCTGCACGCCAGGAAATCAGGAAAAAAACAAATACAGCCCATACTGCCCCTCAGGCCTCTTGCTAAAGGCTCTAGGGAGCACCTAGCTTTAGTCTCCCAGGACCCCAGCAATGATGAATGCCCAAAGGTGGCCCTGTCGCAGAGCGGTTTCTGCTGCTGGGCCTCACCAAGCCCCTGTTCTCAAGAATCCCACCACATGCCCACAATGGGGCAACAGGAGACAAGTGAGTTCATTCCAGACAGAAACTGCAGCCTCATTCCTAATCACTGATGAAGATGTGAGGTGTGAATCACCTTGGACGAGGCCTGAAAACACTTCCTTCTGGGTGCCCAGGACATGACTCATGAGAGATGGGTGTAAAAACGGAACAGAACAATTAGAAGACAGCTCAGAATGCGAAGACTCTGAGTGAAGCTTCCCGCCCAGCACAATGTTTATGGGGCTGTGGGCCTGAAACCAAAAAGCCCTGAAGCTATAATGGGAGTTTAGAGAGAAGCTGCCTGTACCCCACACCCACGGGGGAACCTGCACAGTGAAAGGGACTCTGACCCCTGTGGACGCTGTCCGCAATCTGGGCTCGAGGTTTCTGGGAGGCAGCGTGGCCATAAAAACAAACACCACAAAACAGCACCTGACCACGGTGCTGGCAGAGTTTCTCTCGTGGGCAGTGAAAATGAGCAGGGCGTGGAATGACTGGGCACACCAGGCACCAAGTCCTCCCCTTGTGCTTGACCATTCATTGAGCTGACCTGACAGAGAGCTGATCTGTCTTCCCAAAGTCAATCTCACCCCTATAATCAGGAGGCAGAAAAGTTTATACACACAACAACCAAGAAAGGTCCTCCAGTAAAACACATACTACGTGTAAACTGTTCACATGATATCAAAAGTATACATTTAATCTCCAGAATAATCAAGCCTCTCATCAGGTTAGGTTTGCCATAGTTTTAAGCAAGATGTTGTGGTTTCCAGCAAACAAGTCATGGTGTAAGTGAAATCACTGCAAGAAAGAAGTGACTCTTAGAACACAGACAGACACACACTCACCTCAAGAGTAATATATACACAACACAGCAGCTACGTGGGCATTCAGTGAAGGGTATGAACCAAAAGCCCCCTGCTCCCTGCTCCCTGCCTGCGGGGCCCCCATCCCCCCAGATTCAGCAGCAGCAAGTCTACAGCACAAATGCCCTTGGCCTCATCCCTGAACAGACGCAGTTTGCCGGCCTGCCCGCTAAGAGAAGCTGGAGCCTACCTCATGGGAAAGGGCTTGCTTACAGTGCATTTCACTGCATACACTTGAACTTTTACAGTGTGTTTTTCTCCAGATTATTTTACGTAACTTTTCTTGCTTTCTGAAAGAATAAAAATGGAAACCTTTTAGTCTGTGACCCTGACTGTGAAGCAGAGCTCACACAGCCTCTGCAGGATTCTGATGTGGACGCGTTGCTCATCTGACCAACGAACCTCCACCCCTTCCTCTCTCTTGGCCCACAGAAAGCCATCCTCTGCAGCTCCCAGCAGGGGTTGCTCGAGAAGCACCCTAACCCAGATAGGAGAGGCCCCTCCCTGCACAAGTCTGGAGCAGATCAACGTCCATCATCTGGGCCCCAAAACAGTCCAGTGGACGGGGCCGGAACCACCAAGCAGACATCCTGAGCTGGGCAATGCCGTCTTTCAAGTTGTCCAATACTTCAGTTGTTTAAAACCCCAAATGTAAACCCTCGTGACTTCTTTCCAACTCAGAGCTACAGATACTCACAACTTAAACCATAAACAGACTGTATATACAAATTCTTTTAAAAACCCACAAACAAATAAAAAACACTACCAAAATAAGAAAAGAAAAGCCAGTGAGTTGAAGCTTGTCACTGTCTAAGTCACAGCAGCTGGGCTTGCCTGGGAGACCTGCCCCTTCCTCAGTCCTGACCCCGCTCTCTGCCCCGGTGGTCTCTACTCGTCTTCTGTGGCAGCTGTCAGGATCCCCTTGTCCATCAGGTGAGACTTGAGCGTGTTGAAGATGTGGAGCTGCTGATCTGGCCGCAGGGTCAGGAACTGTTGAATCAGCTTGCTCGGGTTAGGGCCCCTGCAACAGAATGTAAAGTCACGGCCTTGAGCAAGCCTAGCTGCTTCCAGGGCCTGAACCCCTGACTGGCTGCTCTGACCTCTGGATTCTCTACTAATGGAGCTGGGCTGGGAGAATCCATGGCCCGTAAAACTGAGAACTGTGTTCACATTTGAGATGCTTTTCACCGAGACGTCTATGTAGCCAAAATTCCAGAATAGCACCATACTTAAAAAACCCACCCACTTGTTCAGATGGAAAGGCACCGCACCTGATAAAACTGGCGATGTACACATTGACAAAGGTGGCCATCAGGTACTGGCAGTCAAAGCGATCCATGATGCCTCCGTGGCCGGGGATGGTATTGGCAAAGTCCTGTTAGAGGCCGAGGAAGGACAGATGAGCCTTGGCTTGGCCAACAACCAAATCCCAGCCTACCAGTCCCACCTCAACGGCCAGCTACTATGGTGGATAGCTAAGGGGAACAAAGAGAGGGCTGATTCACAGGCTATAATGCAACACATACTTTTTCTTTTCTGGTTTTTTTTTTTTTTTTTAGACAAGGTCTCACTATGTGGTTCAGATTGGCATTGAATGCACTATACAGCCCCCTCTGGCCTCAAAACTCATAGCAATCCTCCTGCCTCAGCCTCTTGAGTGCCGGGATTACAGGTGTGCACCACCATACCCAGCTCAGGATACATTCTTAATAAATTACAAAATGTTCCCTGAAGAAATAAACATTAATGACGCAAACCCCAGCTACTGAATTTTCTTGGAAACAACATATTTTCATCTAACCCACCTAAAGTCACCACAGGGCTCGAGAAGAATGCACTAAATTGAATGGCTGGGGAACATGGCCTGGAAGAGTGAAGGGTGGTGGCTGATGAGGTGGGGCGGGGTGGGGGGCAGAAGATGGTGGAAGGGAGCAAAACGGGACCAGAGAAGGTTTCCCCTACCTTGATTTTAAAGGCTCGCTTAAAGCCACTCGCAAAGAAGCCTCCAAAGGGGCCTATAAGCGAGGCAAAGGTGGAGAGGGCAATGCTGTGAATCTGGAAGGGGTACATCCGAACTGTTTTCTGGGAAAAGGAAATGAAGTCAAGTCAGGTGTGCACAAGTCCAGCGTATGAATGCTAACGGAACTAATGCTAATGCTAAGCCAACTATGTAAGTTTTTTAAATCAGTAAGAAGAGTACATTTCTTCCCCATTCTTTTAAATCTAATACCTGACTTGCTGGGAGACATTAAGATATTCTGCACTCAACCTGTTACAATACGTTGTTTTGGTGAAAGTGTAAGAAGAAAACAGCCTTCTACAGACACGCAGTAGTAAGAGGAAGAGCATTTTAATAATCTTCTCAAAAACTTGTAGGCGTTCTGAGCGACACTTACACCAGCATTGCACAGGTGACTGTTCACTAAGAGTTACAAGCCAGGTGGAATCTGAAACCCTACTGATGAGATTTTTGTGCTCTCTCACATTAAAATCCATCGATTCATCTGGCATTTTGAATGGATCTTTTACCCACACATGACTGTAGAACATTATGCACTGATCTTTTAAAAAACTATTTGTACACAAAGTTATACGAATCTTCTAAATGTAAATGATTTCATTATTCACAGCACCTGCTAAAATCACCACAGAGCTCATCAGAGTACCCTTTAAGGATTAGGAAGCTATCTAGCTCACCACAGCAGGTACACACTTTTCAAAACTCTAATTTTGACTTGGAAGCCAAATTTTATCTCCGGCAACAACTGCTGTCAGTCATTTCCCTGAAAGTGAAAGACTCATTTTGTTCTTTTCAAAAAATGTGTGTGTAATTTAACCCATGTTTGAAAAACTAGTCAATTCTTTTCAAATAGAAATTATGTTCTTAGAAAGAAAAAAAAAAACTGCTACAGCTATGTTAGTTCACAACTCAAACAACTGCATGCACTGTACTTCGATACTTAGCAGGAATGTTTACAATGCTTTCCAGTTCAGGACACAGAGGATTTAAATGGTATGTACGCAAGGGTAAAGATTTAATAAAATCAGTACTTTTACTATTTCAAAGCCATTGCTAGGAGCAGTTTTCATGTTTGCAAAGGAGGGTGTGGTGTGAAGAGGGCCCTGCTGCTGGGCCACGGAATGCAGCTGTCCAGGTACCATTTTTACCTGCAGCTCCTTTCGCACCAGCACAGCAAATGTCTGCAGGGAAAACGGCACATCTAGTCATAGGGTCTTTAGGAAAACAGCTGTGACTTCCCAGGTCCCTCTAAAGGGATCTTGCAAAACACAATTTGAGAGTCACTGGTCCAAATGACATGAAACGGGCAGAGGTCTCCTCTGGCCCTCAGCCTGACCCAGCTTGAACATCTCCCCCGTCACCCTGGGGCTGACAGCGTTGGCAGGCAAGGGCTGGTGGAGGGGCTTCTTCTCGCAGTCCCATCCCCCATGGAAGTGGCACCTACCCAGCCAACAACCGACTGGATCACCCCAGGAATGTTGTACTCCTGCAGGCGGAACAGGTCCGAGGGCTCGCAGTCCACAGTGAAGCTGTTGGTGTCGTTGTTGTACTCCACGGGACAGACAAAGCATCTGTACCCGGACATCACGTAGGACAGCTGAGGGTGAAGAACAGGGGCAGGGAGGAGAGTGCTACAGCCACGCAGCCCGGACGGCGGCTTTGGGGCGGCCTCGCTCCTCACAGCACCTAGCGTTCTGCTTGCTGTGAGCCACATGCTAAGTCACAGGTTCACGTTACCCCACATGTTATTTTATCTGAATTTTTTAAGTGAGAGAGGCAGGCTTGTGGCCCACTGAGCTCTCATACAAATATGCCAAAAACAAAGGTCCTGAAAAAGCTCAAGAGAGACCTGAGGGAACATGGGAAGAAACTCTGAGGCTTCTTTTCCGTGGCAGGGAGCTCTGGTCTACCTTGCTCACGCAAGGCTCTGTGATGAGTGCTGGGAGGTCGTGGAGAGGAAGTGGTACAGTGAGAGGCAGCCGGTCAGGAGGAAGAAGGCTGCACAGGAAACTGGGGGGCAGCACTGAAGGACAGACAGCCAACGCTGGGAAAGGGGGACCGACTTGAGGACCGGGAGAGGGAATGGTACCCTCCAAAAGGCTAGAAGATGGTCTACTCTGGGAAGAAAAAATCTAGCTCACCCCTCACTCTCAGGCGCCACTATCCTGACCTGGAAACACTAAATGTCTGTTGCCATCGCCTTGCCTACGACAAGAGGGTACGCAAGCTGCACGTGGTTCCCGCTCAACGGTCAAGACCCCTTGAAAACTGGTAGATAAAGGAGAGCCAGCGCGGCTGTGCCACTCGCGAGCCCCTCTCGGGGTCAAGGTCTCTACTCAGCAGGACACATAGGCATCTGATGGTGCTGTGAGACTGTCCACCCCCCACCCACCTGGGGGCCGCCACCTACCAGAAGGCCAAACACCACAGTAGCAAAGAAGCCCCCAATGAAGCCTTCCCAGGTCTTTTTCGGAGAGAGCTGTGGACAGAGAGCACATTCTCAGCAAAGGCTGCTTCATTCCTCTGGCTTTTGGGAACAACGATTACTTACGAAAACCATCAATATCATAAAACCACCATTCTATTAACCTCACCTTGTATATTTCCCTAACATGATTTGCTTATTCCGTATCTTATGTCCTTCAGTTTCCTTTCTGTTTCAACTGATCATTCAAATTATTTTTATTGTATCATAAAACTATATAGTACTAATTTAATGACAATACCCAAATCCAGATCAAAGCCCCTAAAGTGTGCATATGGCATATACAGCCTAGAAACACATTTTCTTTAATAATGTGTCATTCTATCCTCTTCCCCCTGAGGACTGAACCCAGGAGTACTCTCCACTGAGCTACATTCCCAGCTCTTTTTATTTTTTGTTCAGAGACAGGGTCTCACCAAGATGCCCAGGCTGGCCTTGAACTTGGAATCCTCCTGCCTCAGCCTCCCAAGTATCTGGGATTACAGGTGAGCCTCCATGGCCACTTGGATTTTTTTCTTTTTTAAGAAGACTGCCTATAGTTGTCAGTATTTCCGTATGGCTTTTCTCTATAATGAACGGACTACCAGTCTGTCTCCAGAATGACATGAGAACATGACCACAGTGCACACCAGCTGGATTTCTTCTGTCTGCCTCACTCACCCGCTCATGCAGAAAACACTCTTCCCTCACAGTGACACTTCAGGTAAGGGTAACTTACCTTGATGAGTGGGGTCCGGCCAAAGAAAAAGCCAAACATATAGGCCATGATGTCATTGCAGATCACACAGGAAATGGGGACAATGAACCTAGGAAATAAATCAAATGGGGTCAATGCTCCTGAAACACAGAAGCTCAGAAGTGCACCAAACAAGGCCTTTCATCAATTCTAGTTCCAAGGGCTGGGGATTGAGTTCAGAGGTTCTGGTGTCTGCCTTGCAAGCGCAAGGGCCTGAGTTCGATCCCTGGTACCAAAACAAAAAAAAATCTAGTACCAAACAAGCCAGAGTATTCCTGGAGCTCATGAAAGAATAAGTTAAAAAGAAAATGCCAAAGAAGTTATACGTAGCTTCTAACACATAGCAGGCATTTAGGTATTTACTGAATGATTACTAAGTGAACAGAGGTAGCACCCTATAAATGTCATCTGTTCTTTTTTAATCATAAAGCAATATGCACATTATTTTGTTTTGTTTTAGTTTGGTTTTTTGAGACAGAGTCTCACTGTATAGTTGAGACTGACCTGGAACTCACTGTGTAGCCTAGGCTGGTCTCGAATGCACAGCAATCCTCCTGCCTCAGCCTTCCGAGTGCTGGGGTTACAGGCATGCGCCACCATGCCTGCCCACATAGTATTAATATAAACTATAAAAGGCAGAAAAAAACTAACTTCCTAACTTCAAAATAACCACTTGGGGAGGGGGAGGGGGGTCCAGGGATTAAACTTGGGCTCTTGCACTTGTGAGGCAGGCGGCAGAACCACTGAGCCAAATGCCTGGCCCCAAAACAACCACTTCTAAGCATCTCTCATTTTTCTTCTACTAGCTACCTACACATTTTTTTTTTTAAAGACAACAGTCTCACTATGTACTTCAGCCTGGCCTTGAACTCACTATGCGTTGCAGGCTGGCCTCAAACTCGCAGTGATCCTCCTGTCTCAGACTCCCGAGTGCCAGGATCACAGGCATGCATCACCATGCCCAAATGGGCCTTATATTTCTAAATCATATATTTTATATCTATTTCAAAACTAACTTTTTTTCACTGTTCATTACTCTATTCGCTGGTGCACTCCACCCTTTCTTAAAATGACCCTGTTAGCAACAGCCCAACAGGAACAGCCACATTTCTGCCCCTTCCCCTGTGGGCCCTGTTATTCTCACCATGAAGGGAAGCAGTTTCCACGCTTGTACCCTCTCCTCTTCTCAGTCCTTATCCCTGCACACATTTAGAAGTCCTCTTATTATAGTTAAACCCTGTATACATAAATCTTGACTTTCTGGCCCAACCACTACAGGTGACACTTCCTGACTTCCTGCTGGAGGAAGGGATTCAGAACATCAGTACCCTCCTCCTTCTGCTCACCCCCTCACCCCTACATCACTTACTTCACCAAGGCTTCTAACAGTCTCTGCTCTTTAACTGTGATGAAGTCTCTCTTAGGGATTTAATATTAGTCACTGTAGAACCAAGGGTGTGCTTGGCCCTGAATCTGAGAACTCAGCATGGTAGCACTCTTAAGAAATACCCAACATGGGCTAGGGATTTAGCTCAGTGGTGCTGCTGCCTGCCTTGCAAGTGCAAGGTCCCAAGTTTGATCCCTGGTACCAAAAAACAAACAAACAAACAAGAAATACCCAATATGGGCTGGAATGTGGCTCAGTGGCTGTGTGTTTGCCTAGAAGAGAGGGAGGCGGAAGGGGGAAGGGGGAGGAGTAGAAGAAGAAAATGAAATACCAAAAAAAAAATTTTTTTGAAAAAAAGGGACAGAGTTGGTGTCTCCCCAGCCCTTTATAATTGTTTTAAATGTATAATGCCTAAGGCTAACATGTATATGAGTATGAACTAATCTCTAGATATATTTACTAGTTAACTCTTCAGGAGGTGGGTGTTATTATAACCTAGTTGAGATCTCTGGAATGTGACCTGCAATACTTAGTACCTTTCTCTTATTACACCAGGAGATGCCTTTATCTTTCCACTACAGTCACCTAGCTTCCTCACAAGCCTGCAGATTTCTATCAACACTGGCTAATGTCCTGTTGAAATAATGCACATCTGAAATAAACTCTACTCAATAACAGTGTATTACTCTCTCAGCACAATGGCAGATTCTACTTGCTGATTATTTTATTTAGGATGGTTTATCTGTACCCATAAAGGAAGTCAGTTTAGACAGCACTCAGCTGTTAACCAGTTGGTCCTATTTTTTTTCTCCAGGTGTGAAAAGCACACAAATTTTAAAGCTCTTCTATGGCTACTAGTCTGTTCAAGTTTGTTCCTTTGAGACTTTTAGTAGATTATAACTGCTAGGAAATCACGCATGTGTCAGCAGGGTTTTCGAATCTCATGACATCAGCTGCACTGTTACTGATTGAACAGAGATTCTCTGAGTGTGGGTCCTGACCAGCAGCACCAGCACCACTAGAAACATACTCAAGGGCTAGGGAGATTTCGCTCAGTGGCACCACTCCTGCCTCACAAGCACAAGGTCTCAAGTTTGACCCCTGGTACCCAGAAGAAAAAAAAAAGGAACATACTCAAAATTCAGATCCTCAGGTCTGCCCGGAAACTACTGAACTAGCTGCCTGTGTGGTAGCCAGCCTGCGGTGACCTGTGGGCTCAAGGTGAGAACCACTGGTTCTGAAGATAAGGCAGGATTCTCCGCCTACCTGTACACCAGGAACACCCACACAGGAAAAGGAGAAGTCCTCCCACAGCCGTCACTCACCAAATCATTCCTTCAAACAGGTTGTGGATAACAAGATGTGACTGGGTTACAACAATCAGTAGTGTTACATGGGTCCAGCCAAACTGCAAAAGGAGAAAAATAAACTCTACCTATAAACTTTAGCTTGGCAGTAACTTCAAATAATTAGTAACAAACAGAAAGGTGCTAAGAAATAGGAAAAACATCTGCTGTTGCGTCTCATTTATCAGAAGTGAGAAGGTACAGAACAAGGCTCCAGGAGTAGTAATTTGTGCTCTCCCAGTAAGAATCCATCAAAAGCAGGGACTGTGCACCACTCATGAGAGCTCAGAAGCCTGCCCCTGCCCCCAACACACACACACACACACACACACACAAACACACACACACACACACACACACACTTTCCTTACCATGTAGAACTGCAGCCGATAATGCTTCTTGACTAGGCTCAGTACAAACATGCAGAACCCTGGTTTGATGAAGGAGAGAAGGTAAAACAAATCACATTCTGCATCTCATCTTTCTGTTACTCCTTTCCTTTAGCTGTTTTAAGCAGTCCATTCACTCATGTCTTCACATCAGTCAACCAGTGCATAATTTCAAAGCCCAGAAGGGAAATACTACTTATTCAGATAAGCAATGAGAGAAAATCTATCACAATAGCCCAGCTGGCTTCAGCTCTAGATTACAAAAGAGCTGAGACTCAGAAAGATTAAATTCTTCTTCCTCTGAGGTTACAGAGTCTTTTCAAATTTTCACCCTTCTGCAATGTCTCTCAAGGCTGCCTCCTAAAATGACTCCAGTAAAAAATGGCCCCACCATGATATTTTTCTCTGGTCACATTGCAGTCTTATTGCCAGTTTCCACAACTGTACCCCCTTGGTCTCCATCTCTCTAGTAAAGAGCTACTACAGAGCTTGGGGGTGATGAATGCTTGTAATCCCAGCACTCTAGAAGGCTGAGGCAGGAAGATCAGAATTCAGAGTCCAGTTGAGGTATCTTAGTGAGATCCTGTCTCAAAATTAAAAATAAAAGAGGGCTGGGAATGTAGCTCAGCATGACGGTCCTGGATTCAAGCCCCAGTACCCCCAATACTGAGGGGAAAAAGGGGAGCTGCTACAGCTTAATAAAATAAAGCTGCCAGCTCACTTCTTGCACAGTCAGAATTAGCATTACAAAACTTAAACCAAGAAAATTTCCCAACTCTCCTGGCTGTAATCTTAGCACTTAGGAGACTGAGGTAGAGGACTGCTGTGAGTTTGAGGCCAGCCTGAACTACTTAACAAGACTCCATCTCAGGAAACACAAAAAAATCCTCAACTCCTACTCAACAAACAAAACAGACACAAGAAATGGAGAAGCATTTAATACACACCTGTCAGGTAGAGGGTAAAGGAAATGAACCGGTGGTATTTACTGAGAATCCTCAAAGGCTCTTCTCTCTGGACCAGGGTGAAGAAGTAATCCGTCACCGTCTCACCATAGAAGAAATAGTTTACGCACAGCAGAAAGTACCTGGAGGTAGAGACAGGGCGGAGCTGGGGCAGTACACAGCCTCTCCTCTAGAGCCAGGCTGCCACACAGCCTGAGGACAAGGCAGAGGGCAGAGGCCACTGTGCCTCAAGAGCCCAGGCCAGTGTGCAGGGGATGAACAGATCTTGGCTCCCTGCTCCTGCCTGACCCTGTACAGAGGAAGTCAATCCAGAAACCTGTGCAGCTTTCACTCACTCTCCCTGTGTCACACACTTGGGACTCAGTTCTTCCCCTTTTAATGGTGTCCCACACCTAAACTGATGCCCCTCCAAAACACCCCATCCGCCCTCATCCTCAGGCCTCGTCCCACTCAGGAAACTTCCCCTCCTCCCCCTACGGCCCACTCCGGCTTTGCCTCCTGTCTGCTCTACTCTTGCCTCCTGCTGGTCTGGAATATCCTCTCCACTCATCCTTTTTTCCCCACTCATCACTCAAATATCATTTTCTTTATAGAACTTTCCAGAACCTACCCGCCCCACATACCCGCCCCCTCGGAAGCCTGGCTCTGCCCAGGAGCCTTCCATCGTGTTACTCTGAACCCATCTCCTTCCTCCCTCCATTGGAGTCCCACAAGGAGAGGAGCCACGGTTCACATAGCTCTGCAGCCTCCACGATGCTCCTGAGTTCAGGGCCGTGCAGCACCATTCCAGACCCTCAGTGAGAATCCCAAGGCAGGGAAGAGAACGCAAAACTTCTCATTCCCACTTTTTTTAAATTGTGAAATTCAAACATTTCCATACTGGGTTTATTTTTGTATATGGGAAAAAAGTCAGGCCTCCTGAATGTTCACAAAATTTATAACACAGCTGTCCAGCTACAGAGCAGCCACAAGAGAGGCCTGTTCCATCTGGGGACTGGGAGGCACCCTGCATGGCTGGGTGACAGGGAGCACTGTGCGAAAGGTGCCTGGCCAAAATCTGAGCACGTCAGGTCCCTGGGGCATAAACACTGCTGTCCAGCCTGTTAAGTCCCAAGTCTATCCCTGTGTCACATGTTTGTCTGAGACTCCTTAGCACTGTGCAGTGTTCTGCTCGAATGTCACCACCTAGAAACAGTGTCGCCCACGAAACAAGTCAGAAAGGGGTCTCAGGTCTCATCAGGAGACCAGGTTCTTTACTTGTTTTTGCTTTAAGACAGCTAAGCCTTTTCTGAAGAAAAGGAGAAAGCAGAATTTCTCTGGAGAAGCCCTTATCTGTGCTTTCAGTTTCATCCTGCCTGCACACACTGGCAAGGAACTAAGGTTCCAATACCACTAAAAGTGACTGATGATTTTCAATCAGGTGTTTCAGCAATAAGGAAACCAAGTTCTAGAGAGAGCAATCCCAGCACCAAAACCTGACTGACCCCAGACACTCTAGCTGGATGGGACAATATAGCAGGCAAAATCTACTGATTTAGAAGGGAGGCAGGGCCAAATACCACCCCACCCTCACCCTGGAAGACTACAGATTCCAAGTACCAAGGCTCACCGCTTAGACACAGCCCCTCTGGGTTCTCCTGAGGAAGATCCCTGCCTCCTAGGAGTTACTGAAGACTCCTCCAAATCAGCCACACAGTCTGGCCTGCTCCACAGTGCTGTGCAAGTCTGTACATCCACCGCACCTCCGTCCGCCATCCCTGCAAATATGTGCTACAGAACACAGCACCACCAACAGATAGCCAAGGCAGCTTACCAGCTGAGGGTCCTAAACCAGGGCAGGTCATAGGAGTGGTAGACATTGTAGCCGATAGTGATGATCTCGTGGAAACACTTAATCTGAACACACATAACCTGCAAGACATGGAGAATCAGAGCAGCCGTCTTATAATCTTTGGAACCAGAAACCAATTAGATCATGGGCCTTTAAGACAAAACATTATATTTAAGAAAAATTTCAGTCCTGCTCTGAGATTCTGCTCTCTTTTTCCTTTCTCTTTCATACCATCCCCCATGGCAATGGAGTTCTCTATGTCACAGGGAACAGATCCTATTCCTTACAATAAAATACACAGCCCTAATATTCGGATTAACTTTTTATTCTAGAACCTCCAACATTCAACCAACACCCCCCCTTCTTTTTTTTTTTTTTTTCCCCCGAGAACCAGAAACCAATTAGATCATGGGCCTTTAAGACAAAACATTATATTTAAGAAAAATTTCAGTCCTGCTCTGAGATTCTGCTCTCTTTTTCCTTTCTCTTTCATACCATCCCCCATGGCAATGGAGTTCTCTATGTCACAGGGAACAGATCCTATTCCTTACAATAAAATACACAGCCCTAATATTCGGATTAACTTTTTATTCTAGAACCTCCAACATTCAACCAACACCCCCCCTTCTTTTTTTTTTTTTCCCCCCCGCTACTGGGGAATAAACCCAGGGCCTTCATGCATTCTACATTCCAACTCTTTCTAAATTATTTAAAATTTTAAGACTGGGTTTCCCCGAGTTGATCTGGCTAGGATTGAACTTGTGATCCTTCCTACCTCAGTCTCCCAGAATGCTAGGATGCTAGGATTACAAGCATGCACTACCACGCCTGGCAAGTCCTTCCCCTTTATTGACTCCAGATATAAATATGTGAAAGGCCCACTTCTGTGCTCAGCAGGGAAGCTCTGTGGAGCTTAATAAAAGCTCTGAAACCATGAGTGAGACCCCAGGGAAAAAGACACAAATCCAGGGGTCAAAAAAGATATAGGCAGGGTCACAGCTTAATTAAACATCTGGAAAAACAAATTCAATTTTAAAAACAAAGAGACCTCCTTAACCACAAGCAAGTGGCCTACACTAGTTGGCTACTACAAGACGAGAAGTCACAGATGGCCTGAGGCAGATGTGTCCAGAAGGGACAGAAGCCCACAGATCCCCACACCCTGGTACTGAAGACAGCTATCCCGAGGGAGACATTGAAGACAAAAGGAAACTGGCAGGCAGCTGGCACTTACAATCATCATTAAAACCATTGGTCCCAGGTAAATGATGATGAAGAAAAATGCAATCATGGCCAAAGTCAAGATGCCTCTCACCCACCAGTTCTTCCATCTGTGAGAGCAGGGGAAGGAGAAAACAGAGTTACCAGCCCAGGAATAACAGAAGCAGACCCGAGGGAGCTGCCTCTTCCTGAGCCCTGCAGGCCCTGAGCACAGTCCTCTCCAAAGCCCCGCCTTCACCTGGACAGAGGCGCCGCACTGAAAGGAGCAGAGCACCAAGCACCAATGCGCCACCCACACCAAACTCAGCTGCTCCACTGCCTACAGAAATACACCTGGCCACGTCTTAAAGAAAGCACCAGGGAAAAAACACAACTCAGAGAGATATAGAACCCTCTACTTCTGTTCCGACTTGGAGAGCTCCCCTAAAGAAGAGACCGGGAACACTTTCCCACAGAGGGATTTTACACCGCAGTGCTGCCTGCATCTTCACAGTAATAATGATAATAAGTGCAAAGACAACAACAGCTACCACAATATGTTTAAGGACTTTAACCACCTTAACTCATTCAACCTGCAACCCAACTGGCTTTTAAATTTTGTCATTTTAAATAAATTTTCATTCACATAATATCTGTATTACTTCACTGAGGAAATGGAGGCACAAGTCCCGCCTCTAGCAAACAGGAAGACTAGAATTTGAATGCAGGGGTCTGCTCCCCACTCCGTGCACAACACAGCCTCCCAAAGGACCGCTGACAGGCACACACAGGGTCTCGTCACACAGCAGGTGTGAGAAGAAGAGCCCATGTTTGTCCCCTGGGCTCACCTAACCTGAGATACTGCCCAGCCTTCCTGGAGAACGTAAGGAACTATTCGAAATGGATGCCTATAGAAGAGTGAAAACTAAACCTTGAACCAGAAACCATAAGACCCTAAGTCCTCCATGCACTTGGTCACAGCACAAGGTCCCCACAAACTCCTGTATCGTGAAGCCACGTTACCTTGAAGACAAGTTAGAGAGGGCCCTGTTGAGGACCTCTGGGGTGTCATCAACAGGAGCTGGCGGCGCACACAGGTCCGCTCGGCTCTCACTGTCTGACGCAGTCTCATCAGCCTTTGCTTCTGACTCCAACTCCTACATGGCGAAAACACAGAAGGAAAAAGGTAAAAAACGCCAGGTAGATTATTGGGAAGTACACGCCTGTCACGAGAGGAAGCAGGACAAGACCCCAGATGGGACCTGGCACAGTCAGATGCCAGGACAGACACAGGGCTCTGACAGTGCCACGGCAGCTGCCCTCCACTAGAAGAGAGGTGCACGTCCCCACCACATACGCTCTGCTCAGTCTCACTGGGCGGGAGAAGCGGAGGAGAGAGAAATGGCTCAATGGTAGACAGGATGAAGAAAGGAGACTGATGGGTTCCTGCAGGCAGGTATCCCCGACTTATGTCCAAGTGCTAGGCTGTCAGCACCCAGGGAGATCCATCCACTCCAAAACTCCTCTCCACCAACACCGGAACTACTCAGGGTTTGGCGTCTGCTCTGCCATGACAAGCTGTGGACTCTTCAGTGCTACAACAGTGGCACAGAGAGGGGCATAGACCAGGCTCTCTCACGGGGAGCCGGGTGCACAGGCTTTTACCCCCATGGATCGGTTAGTGCCACCGTGCCCCAAAGTCCAGAATATGACCTCTGGATTTCAAAAGGGCAGCGTGTGAGGCCACTGCAGTGCAGTGGAGGCCACACCTCTGACTGATTTGTGCCTCTATCCTATGTGTCAGCAGACCCTCGATGTCACTCATGGAGCTGCCACCTGGGCCACAGCCAGGAAGGAAACACCGGCAATAACCCTGCCCCAGCCTGGGAGGGGGAGTCACAGCCAAGCCAGACTCTGTCCCAAGCTCCCAGCAATGGGCTATCCTCAGCCCTTCCATGTCGCAGAAAAATTCAGAATAACTGATAAGAGAGGAGGTGGAGGAAAACTCAGACCACCTAGAATTAAGGAAAGCAAGCCACTACTTAGACTTAGGGTCCCTGCACTCTGGAATACAGGCCATAGACCTGAGACCTTCACCGCAGTAGTGGGGGAAGGGAAATAAGAAACAGGGGCTCCAGGAAGTTAAAGGTCTGGCCCAATGTTCCACACTAACCCAGGTCTGGCTTCACCCTGTTCATCCTACTAAGTTTTCTTTTATTTAAGAATTCTAGGATCCATTTTATTCTTCAGTGAGCAATTCAGAACAAGAGGAAATGACAAGTGGATGTTTTACCACATCTTAGGAGATTTTGTTAAATATGTTTATAAACACAGAAACAGTCACATTTTTTAAGATGAACTAAATATGAATGTCCCTGATGACTAACATGAAATGGGGGCAGGGATTTAGCTCAGTGGCACTGCACCTGTCTTGCAAGTGTGAGGTCCTGACTTTGATCCCTGGTACCAAAAAACAAAAACAAACAACAACAACAAAAAAAAAAACCCAGAAACTGAGCACTAGTCCATGTTTATCAGCCATTTAGATTCTTCTTTTGTGAAGTGTTTGTCAAACAATTGGTCATTTCTTTTCTTTTTATTAATTTGTCACACTCCTTATGGGTTCACTAATACATTCTCCCAGTCTCGTGTCCTCCTAACCCTCAGACTTCCTCCCTCTCAGCACCTCACACAATGGAGACTTTCTTCTAATTGTCTCCCTGCTGACTATAAGATGCTTACAGACAGGACCATGACATCTTGCTCTCATATTCCTTCATGCCTGGCCTACAGCAAAATGCTGACTAATAGATGGAAGCAAAGAAGAAGTGGCAAGAAGTGAATCCCAAAGTGTGGTAAGGACAGATCCAGCCCCATGATAAGGCCTAACAGAGAGGCTCCAGCGACACCTGAGACGAGACAACTGGCTTCAGTAAAGGGCTGGTACAGGCGGTCTCCCAGTAGGGTTTGGTGGCTCTGGACAAGTGACCCTAGTGCCTGTGAACTTCTGTGTCCTCCTCTCATGAAAGGGGCCCTGAAGAGAGAGAACCCAACCCCACCCAGGGCTGGATCCTACTCCATCTCCCCCGAGGTTCTGAAACACAGCAATGCATCTGGGTCTGCCCTCTCCATTAGGACGGATGAAGACCAGGCATTCAGAGCAGCTTTCCATCTCCCACTTTAACATTTACACTCACAGCCCATAGCTACAACCAATGGTCAAGGTAAGAAAGTGCAAGATAATCTGTTCTGACCCTAAACCCTGAAGTCAAAATGTGGGTGCCTAGGCTCCGTGAGGTTTTTAGGGCCACAACCCAAGAGAATCTGGAAGCCACAGGAACTGAGCCAGCACAGCAGGCAGAGGGCCCTCGCTCACAAGCACTGAAGCCTGGCACAGGTTATTTTTAACTGCTCTTTCCTGTTGTCAAGGAGACCCACAAAGGCTGCTGGGTCCTCAGCAGGAAAGGGCGGGTAGCCTGGCTCTGTTGCAAGAGGGAAGAGGTGTCCTGAGGCACAAAGTAGTGGAAGAAGACAGAGACTGCTCATCAGGATGCTGCTGGCTGCTGTGATTGCCAAAGCTTTAGGGTGACTTCGATGAACAAATGAGAAATGCAGTAAGAACCCAAGGGGGAAAGCCTTCCTAGGTTTTCCCTGCCACTGAGTGGTTTCAGGTTCCTGGGTCTCACCCAGGTCCACGGAGTATCCATCTTCAGAGCCACTACCTGGAGACATCCCTCGGCAGACCCAGAGAGACCACCATCCGCCCACCTTCTGAGATGAATCCACACAGGAAGAAAGGGTGGGTCCCTGTGGGAGGAAAGGTACAGCCAGGGAGGAGGCAAGTCTGCCAGCTCCCCAGGTACTGCCATCAGGAGGGCACTGGCCATGGGAGGAGACCTAAGAGAACCTGGAGGCCCACAGGCAAAGGACTTCCACCTGGAGAAGCAACAACTTTTGCTGCCGGGATAAAGAAAGCTGATGCTGGGAGCAGCTTCCACAGTGGGCCTGGATGGAGGCGGGGACCTGGATCCCAGTTTCTGTCCAGAAGAAAAGTAGCACACGCTAGACACGAATCAGAGGTGCTAAGCACATCAGTCTCCACAAGGGGATGGGAAACCAGGAAAATGTCCAAGCGATGCTGCTGCAGGAAGAAGCAGCAACCAGTCAGGGAAGCAGGGCCCGGGCCGGCTCAAAGCTCATCACCCTCGGCAGAGGCCTGACAATGGTCTTCCTGGTGGGAAAGGGACTCCCTATCTCAAGTGTTGTTGAGGAAACAAATGCAGCACGGTAGAAGTCTGTGTCTCCTCCTGCCACAGCCTACAGGACAGGAGCCTGAGAACCCTCGATACCTGCCCCAGAAACCTGGGCCCCCACCCCCGTTCCCATACAGAGCTGGCTGTAAGGAAGAACAGGGGTCTGGGCCCAGCTGGCCTCATGTACTAACTACTGGAGCTCAGCATCTGCCTGCCTGGCTTCCCAACTCAAAAACGACCCTTCCCTGAGCCAATGTGTGAAGTGGCACTGAAATACAAAGGTACCTGCTGAAGCAACAGCGCACTCTCTCTCAGGTGGGTGCAAGCAACCCAACATGCCAAGGGCTGGGAGGAAATACCAGAATTTCTTTCTATTTGCTCTCATTTGCTTTCCCTTGACTGCTCTGTAAGGGCTGCTTCAGTATACACTCACACTTTAGTAAGTGTTGTAAACTGCAGCACTTGCTAAAAGCATCGTATGTGTCAGGCCTGGCTTTTGTTAGGGGCCACGGGGTTTCTCCCCATCAGTGCCCTGGGCAGTGCCTGGAACACAGTAGGCACAAAAAGATTTGCTGAGTTAATGAGCTAAATAATTCTACTTGATCTATTATGGGCCCAATGGTCCAGACTACACTGAGAGTGTGACGGCACCCACTCCAGCTTCCAGTTCCAGTCCCAACACATATCCCTGTGCACTCTGCTCAGCACAGCCCTGGCAACAGGACCAGATGGGTGCCCATTCCTCCCCGCATCCATGGTAGGAGGTGGGTGGAAGGGCCCAGCTCTGGGAAGAGCACAGTACGGCAGGGAGAGGACACCCTGCCTCTCCAAACTGTCTCAGCCAGCTCCCCGCACCCCTCCTCCTTCCTTCCTTTTAATCCTAAGGCCTCTGAACAGAGGCTTAGCTGGGGACTGATTCCATCTCAGTCACCGCACATCCTGCACCAGCTACTCAGCCATTTCCCAGGGGTGGTGATGCTGATATAAACAGGAAGCAAGAGTGCTGCTCTAAAAGGAAGTGTAGGGGCTCTGCTGAGGCCCTTTACTTTTGGTTTGCATAGACCCTCTAGGGAAAGGCAGAAGCACTTAGGTGTTGGCACACAGACGTCCTGGATACCACTAAGAGCCATCCACACTTTGGGGGAAATTCATACTCAGCCTTCCAGGGTCCCTCCTCCATCCGCCACCCAACTTGACCTGGGCTCTGAATTGCACAGAAGCCTGCCTTCCACAGAGAAGGCAGTGAGGGAGGGCAGGGGGACAGGAGGCACTAAGGACAGGGTCTTCCTAGGAGAGACCAAGCTCAGAAGGCGACAATCTGTGCCTCTAGATGAACGCCTGCTGTCTGGCATGTACCCCACTCCCTTAGCTCCCTCTTGATTCTCAGGATTTCCTCACCACCTGCCTTGGCCTACAAAAGCTTCCTCGGGGCCTCTGAAGCTCTCTGAGCTTATCACCCCCCACCTTAACATATCTCAAGCCTCTGCAGTGACACCACAAATGGGGATAGCCAGAGCCAGACCTTAAAAGTGTGGCTGTGGCCAGGGCTGGATGAAAGCCCTTGGCATTGTGCCAGTCAGGCTCTAGGCAGGTGGGGCTCACTTTGCCCCACACCCTATTAATTTACATATGCAACTCCATTTTGTACCCAGTAAAATATACATATATTCCATTCACTGCCTAAGAGGAGCTAAAATCGGGGGGCGGGGGGAGTGGTACTGCCCATTAGGCTTCTACGCTTTCTTCCATCTTCAAGGAAATGTCATTTAAAGGTGGTTTTCAATGCACTGCTCTTAGGCTTCCAACAGCTGAAACCTCTCGTTCCTGTATTTCAAAGCTAAAGCCTAGGCTCCAGAGGTCCCAGCAGACCGCACTCAGCCACACATCCCACACCGCCAATCAAG